GCGTGGCCGGGCAACCTGGCACTCGCAGGACCTGCCAGCGGACCTGCATCAGAGGAGGCGTGGCCGGGCAACCTGGCACTCGCAGGACCTGCCAGCGGACCTGCATCAGAGGAGGCGTGGCCGGGCAGCCTGTCCCTCGCAGGACCTGCCAGCGGACCTGCATCAGAGGAGGTGTGGCCGGGCAGCCTGTCCCTCGCAGGACCTGCCAGCGGACCTGCATCAGCTCTTATTTGTCTAACGAGGACTTTATCGCTCATTGTTACCTTTTTTTTTTTTTTTTTTAAGACCCTGTTAATATTCTACACATTAGAATGTGTCAGAAACTCCCTGGAGAGGAATACAACATGTTGTTGTGTGTAAGTTTGAAGCGAATGAGAAAAGCATACAAGAATAAGCACCCGAGCGTACTGGTATTTGTCGTACTGGTATTCTGTTCTCAGATATATGTTGTAAGATTTGAAAATGTTAAGAAATATGTTAAGGACATACTGTGTATTAAGTAACTGGAAAATATATGTTTAATATATTTTCATTAAAAATACAAACTGTAAGCTGTCTCTTCGTCGGTGCCTGGGGGTAACGCCCCTGCTCCGAGTTGTCTTTCCTGGGGAGACGTGGGCCTGAATCTTACTGAACGAGGTTCGCTGTGGCATTTAAGCTGTTGGGGTGACTGGGACAGCCTCGTCATGCTGGGAATGCGGCCAGGGGGGGGGCACACAGCCGTTTGGTTATGAGTGCAAGCATCCAGAGAGTCACTGAAGGTGCTGGGTTTGAAGCCCAGTGCTCTAAAGTGCAGCCAGTGCAAACAAACAACAAAAACTGTTCTCATGGTGTTGCTAACATCTGCTTGTGGTTACCAGCTTAATAGTGGGAGGCGAGGGCGTGTTGTGGGTATCGAGCTGAAATGAAAGATGCATTGCTGGGCATTGCCAGCCATAGTCATCTGACCTACTTTCTCACAGAAAGGTCACTGAAACCATAGATTGCAATTCCCCACTGCAAATAAACAATGAAAATGCTAATTATGCAAATAATTACAACACATGTTTTACCCAGACAGGCATCCATTCGTTCGTTCGCATTAACTACCTACCTCAGTTTTAACTTCCTCCTGTATGTGAGGTGAACCACATGGGTGGAACGGATGCACTGATAAGGTGCAAAAAGACAAGCGCACAGCCTGAGAAACCCAAACTGGCCCTGATCCAGCCTCGCCTGATTGGGCAGACAGCGAGCTGCCTGAGAAACCCAAACTGGCCCTGATCCAGCCTCGCCTGATTGGGTAGACAGCGAGCTGCCTGGCTGGGCATCTTCATCCCCAGTGACGTGAACCGTCCAATCAGGGTCCGCAGGGCTCCGTCAGTTGCGTGGCACTGAGCTATTCATTGATAATCAGGGCGATATGAAATCAGCAGGCCAAGAGAGTTAATACTTCAAAAAGATGCAAGATGGTATTCAGTCTATAGATTGTAATTTAACAATACAGTTACACTATTTTGCGGATTATTCCCCAACGCACCACAGTTCTCGAAAGTCAGAAAGCGTTACGCGGACGTCGCTCGCCATTATTAAAATGTTCTTAATTCTACATACGTATACAGAGAGAGAGAGAGATGTGCATATATATATATACACACACATTACATATTATTATTAGTATTTTTATGTTACTTATATCTTTAGTCCAACATCCACATATCATATGTGTTGTTTTAATAAGTTTACATGTGTTTAAAGCGTGTGGGAGGGGTATTTTAAGGCTTAAACTATATTAAAAAAATGTTTAATTTATCGCTGATGGTTCTGGAACGCATCTTCCGCGATAGGCGGGGAATCACTGTATAAGGGGGTTTAAATTTTTAATTTGAAAGGAAATAAACATGGTTTCAGTTTTTTTTGTATGCATTTGAAATAGTATGAACACAATATTGTCTTCACAAAGAAGATTTAAATGATTCAGCATTTGATGATTATATCACAGGAGTGCATTATATTTTAAGAGTCAGAATGATTGTATCATTCTTACATTTAAACAATTAAAACATTATTTTTTTACATTTTAATGCATATTATATAATTTTGACATCAAACTGATTTAAAATAATGTATACCCTGGCAATTAGAAAAGAAGTCATTCAGAAGTTACTATGAGCATTAAACATAGTAACGATTATTAGTGAAAAGCTTTGCCTCCCCAGACACTCAGAGCAGGATAACTGGTTGGACGATGGATAGATGGGTTATTGGTGGGTATCTCTGAATGCAGTACAGAGTAACTGAATTATTTGTGAACAGTTTTTTTAATATAACTGTTATTTTTATAATAAATACATTTTTGGACTACATCATATGGAATAAAATAAGTCATAATAGCTACAAGTATTATTTATCAAAGCAATATAAAACATGTATACATATAAACATATACATAAAATACATACTATTTTTGTATGTATTTTTATATACATCTCCCATAATGTTCTCCTCACTCTTCAGGTGTATGAGCTCTCCTCATACCTGGGGTGTCTTTGGGGACGACGAGCAGGTTAGACTGGGTGCACAGGGAGGGCTTTCGGGAGTCTGTGGGGGGCGTGTCAGGCTGCCTCGAGTCCCAGACCCTCTCCATCTTCTTCAGGAGGCTGCTGCTGCCTCTCAGGTTACGCGAGGCAAGGGCGTACAGGAAGGGATTGAGGCAGCTGTTGAAGAAGGTGAGCGCCCCTGCCAGGTTGCGGAGGTGTTCCCCACTGCTCCTCAGTGCGGTGCTCCCCGACGGCGCCAGGGTAGCACAGACGTGCAGGATGTTGGCCACATGGGAGGGGAACCAGAGAGCGAGGAACGCTGCCACCACCCAGATGACCAGCCGGTTTAGTCTTAGTCTTCGGCTCGTGGTGAAGGGCATCTTTTTCACTCTGTGGATGACGTTGGCATAGGAGATGCCGATGAGCACGCTGGGGACTACAAATCCCACGACCGTCTCCAGCATGAGCAGTGCTACCAGCTCCGTGTTCGAATTGTACCATGGCTGGCACCTCAGCCGTCCGTTGTCAAGGACCAGCTTCCTCAGAAACATGGTCGGGGAGCTGAGCAGGAGAGCCAGCAGCCAGAGGCCACCCAGCAACAAAGTGCTTTTCTTCTTCCAGGTACGCAGCCTCAAGGGGTATGCCACCTGTATGTATCTCTGCATGCTCATGGCTGTGACTGTCAGCACGCTCATGTACACGCAGCAGTACAGCGCATAGGAGAAGAGCTTGCAGAAGGCTTCGTTGTAAGGCCAGTCGCCCAGCAATGCCGGAATCCAAGGCACCACCAGTAACAGGGAGAGCAGGTCTGTGAAAGCCAGGTTCAGCATTAGTCTGACAGTCATCGTGGCTTGCCTGATGTTCCGCAGGATTGCCACGATGACCAGCAAGTTGCCAGGAATCCCCACCAGTGAGCAGAGTGCTAGGAGAATACAGGGAGCCACGTTAACTGTAGGTGTCCAATGGGTTGAGTTTGAAGCATTATGCTGCTGCATGCTTGAGAATGACGCCGACTCAATGGAGCTACAGCATCTGAATGCTGTGCTTCTTTTTCTCTGCCAGCCAAACAGAAATACAAGCTGAACTAGAGGGCGTGTGGCCTTCTTATTTCCCGCCCCCCGCCCCCCTTCACTAAAGCCTTGGCGCCATCTGCTGGCCAATCTGTGTAACACGGATCTGAGGGGAACAGTTGTACGCAGAATCTTCCGAGCCTGGCTTCTTTATGTGTGCTGCATTTTTTTTTTCTTATTTTTAGTAGTTTTCAGGTGCCTTAGGGTGGCATTCTCTTTTATTTCAGCTGATGCAAAAGATCACCCCGACATGTTATGAAAAACGCAGCACACATACAGAAGCCTGGCTCAATAGATTCTGCGTGCAACTGTTCTCCTCACTCCACAAAGCTGACCATCCTAATCAATCCAATCACAGCTGGCAAGACTGTATAAAGCGAAATACCTGTTACCATGGGTCTGGTGGGGATTATAAATATCCAGAAGACGACCAAGACGACCCCGTTTACACTGTGAGAGGCGGCATTTTCAACTGAGTCCATTTTACTACCATACTGCAGACTTTCACTTAACAAAACGACATAAGAGGGCTGAACTAAAATAGAACTTAGAATGGAGCAGCACCTTGCATATTTAGACACCCTGATCCGAAGTGTCAAACAACTGAGAAAGCAGTTCCGAGAGAGCAACTATAGGATCTTGGCCGGATGTCGAAATCGCCCCTACAGCCCACACGGAAATAAACTATATAAACATATATGTTTTAATATAGGTTTTGATATAGGTTTTTAATATATGTGACATACTGTATATAAAATTGGCTGTTTTCCTATATTATATGTACATATATGCACATATATGTTCACCTATTATTAAATTATTATTATTACTAAAATTATTAAAATCCATAGCTGCTAGACAACATAAATAAAAGCCCAAAATGTAGAAATTTAAATTTTTTATTTACATTTAGAAAGTGTCTTGTCACACAACGACAGCGTGCACCTGCAGGAGCCAGAATTCAAACCCTCAACCTTCCGATTATGGGACAAAAAAACATAAGTTTTTTGCATTTTTTTTTTTAGTTAGTTCTTAGTTATTGCCTTGATAATAGAAAATATGAGCTATAGGCATCATGTATGACAGTTGCCAAAGTGAGATATGAGCTAAAATGACCAGATCCTGCCATGAGCTATATAGGAGACATATCTTGTATGTACATATAGGGCTTATATGTGGATATNATCCTGCCATGAGCTATATAGGAGACATATCTTGTATGTACATATAGGGCTTATATGTGGATATAAAGAAGCAATACAGGAGACCTATATGGCCTGTATATGCACATATATGCACCTCAATTTTGCCTATATGTGGCATATATACGCATATATGCAGCATATATATCATCATATATATGCATATATACTGCATATAGGTTTAATATATGCGCATATATCCTCATATAGGTACTTTCCATGTGGGAGACCTCTGGGTATGAACCTTCTGATCACGGAAACAGAGTCCTAGTACACACTACACAGAGGTAACCGCAAGCTACCGTAAAGCAGATGCACCAGTTAAATTATCCCAGACTGTCAGATTTATAGATAATCCGTGTCCAATAAACACAACCACATCTATTCTTCTAGTCGGGTCGACTGCTCGATCGCGAGATGATTAATGGATAATGTTTTGTTTCGTTGGTGGCCATCTGGTCGAACGCGATAGGAAAAATATACCAGGTGGGACCACTCCACCCTTTTTTTAGTCCATCCAAAGTGTTAAAATAAAATTTCTACTCCAATTTAAACTGGCATATATTGGGCTTCTTTGGGGTCCATTTGCATTTGTGAACATAAAATTTACCATATCAAATGAACAGATTTAAAATAAAGACATAATTACTATTTATGTTGTTAATAAACGGAATAAACTGTATAGATGAACACCGATGTCCAGCATCATGGCCTTAGGAGCCGCGTCATCAGCCCCGCCCTCTAGCTGCCTGTGATTGGTCAAACAGCCTCCACGCGGACACAGCAGCGTATTTCAAAACTGTCTTGCCGGGTGGGCAGGGAGAGGGGGCGTCCCCGCTGCACCCATCAGCACTAAAAACACATGCGGAGAGATTGAACGCAAACATCTTCTACATTCAGATATGTCGGATCAGGCAGCCTGTCATTATCAGGAATAATTCTGACAGGAGCAAAACACCATATAACAACGTTTCTGCAAGACTCTCAGTTATACTTAGATTAATGCCACGACAATTAACATTGCTGCCCACATCGTGGTGAGACTCAAACCATAGCTCCAGTATTATTGAATCGTGCATCGATTCCCTCAAGCATCACACTTAAAATGTTTTTTGATGAAATAGAAGAGTGTGGCGCATGGGCGAACTGGCAATCGGGAGCACCGTGCACACCCTTTAAAATGAGTGATTAGCAAGTAGTAAAAGACAGAACCTCACGTGGTACGACCCCGCTTCACTCGCAGGTAGAAAAGGACCTCCTAAAATAAAATAAAAATAGTACAAACCTGCTTTGCGTGATTTTCAGGGTTGGTGTCACTGATACCAGTCTCGATACCGATATTCAGTGTCGGCCCAACCCTAACAATTAGCCCACGTTACAATAACCCAATAACCGGGAGGATGCGTGTACGGCGAATCGATCGTTCCATACGTTCCCCGAGTGTGTGGGCTTCTTCTCCTTTCTTCCCCTGCCCGCTAGTAGTTCATCTCCTGCGTCCTATAATAATAATAATAGTAATTATTATTATTAGTTGTATTATTATTATTGTAGTATTATTATTATTATTACACAATAATAGTAATTATCATTATTAGTTGTATTATTATTATTATTATTATTATTATTATTATTATTATTATAGCGCTACGCACGCGCCTCATTCCAAAGTTGACATTGACGCGTCATGATCATGTCTACTGAGAACGACATTCTTTAAGTTTTTGGGCACTGTTGGTGTCTAATAAGGTAGCAGAGACCAATGACTTGCTAAGGAGGCTGCCCTTGTTCTATGTAGTTATTATCTTTGATATTCTAAAGCTTTCAGAGCGCACTGACTATAATTTGACCAAGTAGAGTAAATTTTCAGCTGATTTTTTAAATTGTGTAATTGCACATAGTTGGTTACTGTTGCTGAAAGTTCCCATTAACATCAGGGTTGCCAACTCTGAAGCATCTGGCTTGACACTCACGCTTTCAGATTCTTACACAGTGGTGGATGTAGAACATTCTAAAGATTTAGGCAGGTTGGCATGGGAGAGCCGTATGTGGGAGTTCTCATATAGAAATACAATTGTACTTCTATAGATAAATGTAAAAGATCCACAAATACATTTTTCGAATATTAATTTTAATATTATATTAATACACACTGCACCTAGTTTATCGTGCTCATATCCGATGTGGTAGAAATTTATGACAATACAGACGGATGCCTTTGTATGTGACTTCGCTTTATTAATGAGCTCAGGGAACAACCATCCTGCTGCCACCCCCGTGGTATATTCCAAAGATTTTCTGGTCAACATAACCTTTAAAGGGGTACATTCACAGTTTGCGCCCCCTCCTCTGAACCAGATCAAACTGGTTAGGGTAGGGGGTGCCTTTGTAACACACACATGCCTTTTGCAGATTGCATCTTTCAGACATCAGCATGCTGCAGGCCTGGGACACCTGAGGGGGCGTCTACACTTTTGCATGACCTCTGTCTTTGTGGTGTTCCTGCAATGCCTGCTACATGTGCTCGATTCTCACACCTCTGTCCTCCAGACTGCATTACATCTAACAAGCACTGTGCTCCAAAACATGAGTGCAGCACTCAGCTCAAACCTCAATTCGTTTCTGAGCCTCTTTATCTCGTCAGTGTCAGCTGTCTGTCATCCAGGCGTTCTTGCAGTAATATATGAAAAATATGTTCCAAAAGCAGTTTATCTAAAAGCTAGTTAAGAAAAATATACCCTCTGTTCAATTTTTCTCTTGCACCGACACCAGGAACAACATAATGTTGCTGGCTCTGCACTACCCCTCTGGTCATGTCTCACCACATTTTTTTTTACAGACAGCTTAAGGCGAAAGTTGTGCTGTGCAGCAGAACATTTCACAAGGATGTCCACATAAAGTGCTTTTGCACGCTGGTTCTCAGTGTTGTAGGGTGAGTGCAAATATACCAGTGCAGACACCCCAACCTGCAAACTCTCATTTCAGGGAGCATTTCTACATTGGTTATACACTCACCTAAAGGATTATTAGGAACACCTGTTCAATTCCTCATTAATGCAATTATCTAATCAACCAATCACATGGCAGTTGCTTCAATGCATTTAGGGGTGTGGTCCTGGTCAAGACAATC